CACACACACACACACACACACACACACACACACACACACACACACACACACACACACACACACAAACACACAAACAACTCTATGTGCACACTCACCTCGGGGGGAAGCAGGGTGAGGAAGTTGTGATCTGCAGCAAAGGTGCGGATGCTGACACACTGGCCGATGGAAGAGGGCAAGGCTTCGATCTCATTAAAACTGCAGTCCAGCTCATCCAGAGATGTCAGTCTGATGCAGAGAGGAGGAAGAAAGGAGGTCTTTAATCATGTGGAACTTCAGTGATTATAGTGGTGTACTTCCAGAGTGTTGGGAGTCAAAAAAAAAGATCAAAGTCGCAGCATTTGAGTCCAAGATATCCCAACCTGTAATTCCTTGTATGGGTCAAGTAGCTGACAGATGGTTTGTTACACAGACCACTGCTCTAGCGGCCAGTTGCTCCTTGCAGGAGGCTGAACGGTTTGGACACAAACGCAGCACTTGAAGCCTGAGAAGATGGATGTTTATGTGATCTCTCGGATCCAGCTGCCGTGCAAAGTAACGGGTCAAGTGCCACTAATCCATAACGCCACTCAATAGCATCTTCATTTATTAAACTCTCCCCGTCTTGTAAACGCCCACATCTTTCAAACTCCACTTGCCCAGTTTGTAACACAGCTTTTCTGCTAGGCTCCACGTCCATGCCGAGTTAAAAAAAGATATTTTAACAAACCTTCGCCCTCCAAGACATTATGGAACCTTTTTCACACGCCGAGTAACACTTGTCATGACAAGTAAACTGGATTTGATGGGTAAAAATCGGTGGAATGTCCCTGTAATTCTGCTACAGATTTGACGGTAAAATAAGGACTAAATATTCTGTCAAACCAGGAGTCATTACTGGGCAGCATGACACTGTGAAAGGCTTCCTAATTGCTCTGTAATAAGACAATTGTATTTATTTATTTATCCCCAAACCCTCAAATATACAAAGACAAGGAATGGCCTTTAAACAAGAACTAAGATCAACTCGTATTCCCACCATCTACTGTCACAATATGTTATGGTTAAAGTGAAAGACTTTTAGACATTTACAACACCGATGCACCTTAAAGGCTTCATGGGACATGATCTAAATGAGCAACATTTCAAACTGAATGACCATGCTGACACAGAAGTGCCGAGCAGCTGGGGGCTTTCTGCTGAATGCACTCTGGAGATTCAGATGAATGCAAGACGAGTCCGACTCGCTGGAGAGCTACTGCGAACATTCAAACTCCAAAACACAGGATCTGACACCTCTCTGTTGAATATAAAGCGGGGACAAACAACACTGGACTGAATAAAATCAGTTAAGGAAAAAAGAAATCAGCTTGCTTAAAATAAAATCCTTGCATGGGATTATGATAAACCATAATATGTGTTAAACTACACAAGGAAAAGCATTCTACATATGGGATCATTGAGAGTGTTTCTCCGCTTGGAAACAGCAGATGAAGAACGGCACTGAACAGCTGCAGGAGTAACAGTCGATGTAGATTTGTCTCCCTAATGGATGTAGGAGTGGACGGATTAAAGAAGCCCTATCTTTGGGATTCAGCGTCAGGATGTTCAGCAGCTGCTGACTGCTGGCTTCACCTGTCTGCTGCAGACAACACCAGCCCGAGTGCGGCTATGCCTGATTTAATCAGCGGTGTAGTGGAAGGGTCATCTGGCTGAGATTACAATCGACCGCTCCACAGTGAAGCAAACCTCAGGCCATGAATCAGTACGGCAGATTCAGAAACCATGACATTCAATTATTATCATTCATACTTCATAATCACGGCCGTAATCGAGTTACTCAACATCGTCAGCATTAGACCAAAACAAATAAAGCATAAGCACACATTATGTTTAATGGGAATATCTGATTCATCCAGACAGACCTTTTTTATGCGATCAGGGGACGGCAAATGAAAACAGCACGATAATCCACTGATCTGAGGGTTTTATTCTGCCGATATTAAAGCCATTGCCGTTACACTCACCCTCCGACCGAGTCCGGCAAGTAGATCAGCTGGTTCTCATCCACCTTCAGTGCAGTCAGTTTCTTCAGTGAGCCTATAGTAAGAGGAAAAGACAGAGAGAGGATGAGAGGGATGCAAACAACAGCTCAGGGCAGGTATTGATCACAACTTGCTGCTGCACCACATAGAGAAGCATCCATTACATCAATTAATTGGATTAATTCATATACTGTCACCAATACTATAATCAGTTTAGTAGTAATCAACCCAGACTGCATGGTATTTAGCATCTGGAATCCCCTGATCTAATTAGCACGGTAATCACATGTGAACATTACTGATTAGCAGGTAATTAAAAATATCAACATCGTATCCTTAAAGATCTATATATGGATATACATGGGAGAGACCGAAAACTAATGCTGCTTTCATTAGTTTGTGTTCATTTAATAAATATTATAATATAATACAAATGTCAATGAACACAGAAACGGATACAGGAATGAGAAATGCATAATTGACTTTTTATTTCCTCAAATGTGACATCCGTGTGCACTGTAATCTTTACCGATGGAGCCTGGCAGCTGTGTGAGGGCGTTGTTGGACAGCAGCAGATCCTGCAGATTCTCACAGCCGCAGATTTGCTCGTCTACCATCTCCAAGTTGTTCTTGGACACATCCAGGTACACCAGCTGTTTGAGCATCCCCAGCATCTGGATAAATAAAAAAAAGGGGACACAATAAATACACAGACTCTTCACTGATATCTTATTATCCAGGGATTAGGCAGTTGTGTTGGTGGAACAGAGACACAGTGGATTAAAACAATCCACAAAACATCCTCAGCAGTGAGGCAAAGTAACTTGGCGAGGAGAATCCCAGACCCGATATCATCTCACGGCTAGTTGAATTATTACATTTAATTTAAAGTAAAAAAACACACATTTTGTATGAAAGGAAAACAGTTGCTGTACTCAGTTTTGGTTTATATTCCTGACTGACTGCATATAAAAAAGGCCAGACTGCGATTACAGCCGATGCAGACGAAATATTGTTTTAATTATGACCCAGTTACAAACAAGCTGGTCATTCTTATGTAACACATTCCGACTATCACAACATCGTTATAAATGAGTTGTGTTCAAGGGAGAGGATGACTTCACAGCTGCAGATTTCTGTAACTACTATTGTGACTATCTGCAAACCCCCCAAAAGCAAGTCTGCATTGTTTTCTGTGGAAACTGTCTGGTGTTCACCAGGCAAGAGAATCTTTTCTAAACTGCGGCTCCTTCGCTGCTGTATTTTCAAAGAGCTCAAAGTCTGATGCAAACTGACTGCCGTTTATTTTGATGCAGATTTAAGCAGACACGCAGAGACTGAAAATCAAGGGGAATAATCTCTAGGTGATGTTCTGGGGCACAGCAGCTTCTCAAAATATGTCTCGGATTGCCTGTAAATTATACCCCAGGCAAGAACGTCAGTCTGTTCCCGTCTATCCACAGCTCCTTGATTCCAGTCAGCTGCTCCAACACCTCAGGCTGCAGATGCAAAGACGACAAAGGAGGTTAAAAGTTATGGATGTGTGTATACGAGTGTTTAAGAGAGTGTGTGTGTGTGTGACAGGATGAAGAGCTTAACTCGTAAACAAGCTCAAAATAAATCACACGGCCAGTTATTCATTCAGCTGTAGTTATGTATTAATGAACGCTGTCTTCCAGTGATACAAAAACAGGGCTTCAATTTCAGAAATGAAGGGGAAGGAAAGGTCACCGCCAGAAAGGTGCAGAGCCCTGGGCCGACTGACAGATACTCACCACTTCAGTGAACTCATTACTGCCCAGGTCCAGCCTCTCCAGCTGCGTGAGCTTCTGCATGCTTCTGTAGACACACGGGACAGACAGGGGAGAGAGATCTTAAACTCAACGGGAAAATCAGCCAGGATCATAAGCAATGTGTACCTTTAAAATAAACAAAGGAAGCCAAAAGAAAATCTGTCAATTTCCAGGTTATGTTTTGGACAGCGTGCATGCTCTGCCTTTGCTCTTTTCACTGAATAATGCCGCAAGAAAATAAATACCTTTAACCGCTCAGGCGTGACAGAAATATGCTTTAAATAATGGAAAATGTGACGTATGCTAGCCCTAAGCCTCGCTGCAGAGCTTTCTCTCCACATTCAGGTCACAGTCTCACATTCTCTGCTACACTGTAAACACGCAGATAAAAACCAGGACTGTTCTGCTGCTGATGCACTTCACTATATTTAGCTGATTGCCAGCGACAGAAAATTAGGAGAGAAATATTCTTATAGAAAGGTTTTATTTTGCATCCTGCGCAAGTGTCACTCCATTCCACAAAATACTGACAAGACGCCTTTTAGGGCATTTAACCTTTAAACGGCAGCATCGTATAGTAGCAACCACAGAATATACTAAATATATTTTAAACTGACATCACACCAACTAAGCCTCAAAAAGTGAGACTCAAAATAAACACACAGTTCAGTTTTATGGTCCTTTATGGAAGCCAATTCCTATGAACTATTCATAAAAACACACTCGGGTTAATAGTTTCAATTGCATAATTCTGGCATGATGAAGAATTGCGAAACACATATCAACCCGAGGCAAGATAAGGACGGCAAAGAGCGGTTTCAAATCTGATATTTCCTGAGAGTGAATCGCAAAAACCAAAGCAAGAGACTGTGACTGGAGATGAAATGGAGATGTACAGAGTTGTGTTTGGGAACAGACACAATGATCCGTTTCACAACAGGGATGAACTGTTTCCTTAAAGTGAGACGCGGCACAGGGATGGAGAGAGCAGAGGCCCACCAACTCCACAGCGGACTGGAGTCTGTTTTCTTTCTAGGTGCTCCTCAGAAAACGCGAATGTAAGACAGACGGCACAAATTATAAAAGATGATTCAAGCAGCTTGGTCATTTTTCTAATACTTGGTGCAATATGAAAGCATTAATCATGTTTATGTACTTCGCCATTAGCCAGCTTTATCCCATTCTTACATCAAAAGCTGGCAAGAACACCAGAGGACCCCCCCCCCCCCCCCCATGTGAGCTGAAAGGGGTAAGAATGAGCTGTGCTGGCTCATCTAGAGAGTGATAAAAGAAACAAAAAACACATTTATGGCCCCAAGTTGTGAGGAACGCAGCACCGTTCTTTAGAATACAGGAAATCATTTGGTTAATGCATGTGCTTGGTGGGAGAAAAGAGGCTGCATATTCTATGCGAGAGCTCTGCAAAGACTTCAACTGCACCGCCTTTGTGCACGCACACATTTGTTTACATCTCTGAAATGCTTGCGTGTTGCTCTGGCAACGTTCCCGATCATTAGTTCTTTCCTTTGTCAGGGCTCCAGCCTTTAACAGGTCTGGCCTCTGTCACGTAAACACGGCGAGCAGAGAGGATCCGCTCCGGGCTGCAGCGCTGCACTTTATGCACCAGCTGGCCCGTCAGTTGGTCAGTGACAAATAAGAAAAGGGAAAGTGAGTGAGATAACAAAGGAAACTCGGCCGGATGGAGGAAGGATGTAAAAAGGAAAATAGGGAAATACAGGTTTTTTTTTCTAAGGAATTGGGAAGGGCATGAAATGAAATGATACGGCGAGTGACGCACGAGAGGAGACAGAAAGAGAGCGTAACTTCCCATCACAATCACCTGGAGCTTTCTCGAATATCCGTGGGACATTTCGTCTCCCAGCGGCACGGTAACCTTCTCAAACGGTGAAATAACCCTCACCACTGTCTCAGTGGAGGATTATAAAACCTGCCACAGCAAGCAGCCAAGCAAAGGGGGCTCTTACGTAACACCGTGGAATTCAATGCTACCGTTGGAGGTATGGGGGGCGAATCTTCGGTTAAGAACGGAGGACACGGCAGACACATTGCAGAGGTTGTGAGAGGAACGAGACAGTGAGGAAGTAAGGGTAAAAATAAATAAAAAGACCTTGAAACAGGTCATGACACAGACATGACTCTTGCAGTGACACTGCTCCACTATTTATTCAATAAAATGAACATGAAATGTTTGATGTTTGGCAAACGTGAAGTAAAAAAAGACTTACTTTGGCAACATCTTTAACTGGTTCTCTCTCAGCTCCAAGATCTGTAGTTTAGTCAACCTGCAACCAAGTAGAGAGCCAATGACATCATCGTTAAGTACTACAATACTTTTTTATATTATACTATCTAACATCTTCATACTGTAGTAACCTTTATTTACCTTAATTACGTAGTACCAAACTAGGCTGATCGTACAGAAAGCAAAAGTACGTTCAAGAGGAAAAGTGGGTTTTAAAAAGGAAAACAGCATCAGTGAGAGGAAATGTTGAGCAACTCACACCACATGTTTAGTGTCATCAGAAAGCTCAATACTAACGTTTGTGTAAACTACAAACAATTAGAGCATGACTGATCCTCCTGGTATGATCAAACAATCATGTCTTAAGATAAAACAAAAGAATAAGTCTCATCATTAAGAATCGGAATCTGGACACTTTATACTAAATCAAGTAATCAAAACAACAACAACTTGAGAATACAACAGAGAAAGGTGTCTTTTTTTTTAAATCCCAGGTGTTATTTCACAGCCAAAAAGCCTGTTAAACGAGTTTTCTTGGGCAGTTTGGGGCGGCAGAAACAAGTTGTGCAGACAACACTGACATCACCTTTTAAGTTGTTGGTGAACAGGCTGGTTGTTTATTTACACCTCTAGCAGTTACTTAGCAACATTATCATTAATGTGGAGATTCTGCTGATCACTGGATGACTGTAAGTCCAATACTCCTTCTCTTTTAGCTCAGATTTAGGTCTCTACCAACTCCTGAGGGAAATATCTGTCTCTTTAGCTGCCAAAGACTCGCGCTATTCATGTCTGTCTGTCGTTTGGTGCCGAGCAGGTGGTGTTTTTTGATGAAAACAGCTGCCTGTGCGATGCTATGAGAGCTATACAATGGATAGCTAAACAATTGTCTGTAGGTTCATCACGACGCGCATCCCCTTCACATCGTCTCATTCTGTTTTCACAATGTCATTCGATAGACAAAGCATACAGTTAACACCACAGTGTACAGGTTGTGTTTGAGTTGATCCGGATCCAATCCGTGAGAACACACTGACCTGCCAAAACTGGCTGGTAAGAACTCCAGAAAGGCATCGTTCAGGTAGAGCTGCGTCAGACTCAGGAGCTGGGTGAAACCATCTGGGAGCCTGACAAAGAACACACACAGGAACAGGAATCTCATCACTCACACAAAGCTGCTGCGATGCCAGAACATACTCCACATGGAGCCAAAATGGAGCTAATTAAGGCCGTTACTCCAGGCTGGGCAGTACTCACTTGGATATGGGATTCACACTGGCTTCTACGATAGTTAGGACTTTGCAATTCTTGATGTTTTCCGGAAACTCCTGGATACCTGGAGAGAAACAGCAAAACAACCGCTCACCAACGATTCAACATCTACATTTTATTACCACTGACACCAAACAAATGAGGGATTTCTCATGTCTAGCAGGGGAAGCTTTGTGAATGTCAAACACAGGTGGATTGTGAGTACGGTGATGATCGCGAGCACAAGCAGGAAGCCTCTGTCTGAATTGTGGGCACTGAAGATACAGTACATTAAGAGTGTCTCTGCTGCACCTTTCCTCTCTAAACACCCACAGAGACGAGCGCTCGAGGTGACATAATGAAAGAGCAGGACAGGAAGACGAAGCGATAGTCTGCAAGTTCTCATGAAACAATCCGCCGAGTGTGAACTGCTCGAAAGGGGACGTGACCCAGTCTAAAGGATTATTTCAACCCACTTTGTTTTGTGTCCACAACACTTAGCACAGAGTGCTTTGTGAAGAAGGTTAAGCTACTTTTAACATCAACACAGCACACTCTGGTTCATGAAACCACCACCACATCCTTCAGCCTTTGTTTAAGCTAGTCTGTCTCCGCACTCATTCATTTCCATTAGTCCTTTTCTGTTCTTGTTATCTTCAAGGCTATGCAGTGATGATGATCAACCGTCTCAAGCAGTAGCCTGCAGTGAGCTTAACATCGACAACATCAGACAGTGATGCTAATGTTAAAATACTGACATGTTTGAAGCAAAATACTTTGTGAGGAATATGCAACAAGATGTCAGGAAACTACTGACATGTTCTTTCTTAAATAGCACAGTTGCCTGATGAGCTGAGGCATTAGAACAGAGTAATGTCAAGCCTTCAGACACTTTAGTCTGCGGTCCTTTCTTCTTCTAAATAAGTAACATTGACGGAGGAAAGTTTTCATCAAACAGGCAGAATTGAAAGGACATCGAGAACAAAGCGCTGCCTCGTATTCAACAGCGTGAGAGTTTATCTTCAAAAGGTAGTAAATGTCACACTTTGCAAATGTTGTCACTTCCCGCTCTGTTAAACCACTGACGAGATGCTTCGAGTTGAGCACCTGGTGCAGATATCCTCCGTTTGTGTGAGGGCCGGCCTTAAGGAGCTTCATCTAGCTCTGTTTGGTCTCTGATACTACTTGCGCTATGACGACAGTGTCGAGTATACTGCAGCTCTGGGCTCGTCCACTTCCTTTATCAATCCCGTAAGAGCCACGTAGCCTGGTGACGTGGTTATTGAAACAAGATGTGGCATTTTACCTCAGAATCTCTCGGTATCGTGTATGTAACAGGTTCCTCTTGTTCACTGATCGATGTCGGTTGTAGGACAGTTAGACATTTGAACCTCACAGGTCGCTGAACTCGTGGCCGTGGTCAGTTTTCAGGTTTCAGAAACCTGATCTGATGCTGCAGGTTTACGCGACTCGTTAAACGCTGCCAATCATAAAATACCTCCAACCTAAAGGCATACAGGGAGGTGGTTTTGCTTACTGTTTTTGCTGACGTCAAGCTCCCTGAGATTGATGAGGTTTGCGATGGCTGCCGGCAACACCGTCACGTCATTATCTGGAATGCTCAGTCGGTGGAGTAACTGGCAGTTAAACAGTTGCTGGTGGAGAGAGAGAGAGAGAAGAGATAACGTCTTGTTATTTTAATCAAAAGCACATGGTTGACCAAGAATACACAGTACATTAGATGTGTAAATGTCCCAATTGTCTTAAAAGTTCAACTGCGTCACTCAAAGTTGTCTAAACGAATATGAATGACGTAAAGTGTCCACAATGCAAGCTTTTCACAAGACATGAACTAGTTAGGCACGCAGCAAGTCAACATTTGGTGTCCTCGTGCGTAATGCTGTGGAGTTAAAGGGTTTTATCAGTTGTAGACGGCGTTCACAGAGAGACACAAAGTTTCTATACATCGGTGCGAGCGCCTTACTTTAGGCAGCTCCTCGATCTGGTTGGCATCGAGGAAGAGTTCCTGCAGGGTCTTCTCAAAGCTAAAGATCTCCTTAGGAACCGTCTCCAGGCTGCAGTGGGAGTAGTCCAGCGATGTCACCGCCTCCTCCTCACCCCGCAAGCAGCGGCATGGCACCAGGCGAACAAACAAGCTCCGCTTGGACATCCTCAGGCACTAGAGAGGGCAAACAGAGAGACATGTAAAGGGAGGAGAGGATGAGGAGGAGCGGTAGGCATACGTCTAGGGCCGCTTTTAAACTTCATCTTTGAGTCTCGCCTACGTGTGTGACATTTTAAGTACAGTGTAAACATAAACGCACATGCTGAGCCGAACCATGAACATTCGACTGCAGAGTCAACAACAGCAAGAAGGCCAGGATGGGTTCGGGTTGGCATGTGTCATCTCTCTTAATAATCAGACACAAATACTTGAAAAGGGGATCTGATCAAATAGCCAGACGGTTGGTGTGAACACATCCCCAAAAACCTCAGGTCCTTCTTTAAAAAAGGAAATTTCGGTGTTGGTCAACCTGACTCATAGTCTGCTGTTTTTGTCTATCACTCATAATACAATTTCACATACACGCTCTATTGCAGAGATACTTGGAGGGATTTGTGACACAGACTGTGAGAAGTGGCTCGTTACTCTACAACACCGTCCTGTTCGTTTCAACAGTTCCTGTACAGGGACTTCCTGGGGGCTACTTTGTGTGTTTAAGGGGTTGATTTTTAATAAATGTAAGTTTGCTAGAAAGCTGTCGGAGGCAGGCGCTCCTTCCCCCGATCGACTCCGTTCTTGCTGAAGTCTGCGTCTCCCAAATCTCTGCAATGCAGGAGGTGAGTGAATCTTCATAAATGGACAGAAGTATGTGAATAACACCCAGGTTGACAAAAACTGGAATGTCTCTTTAACATGGCTTTCCAATAGTATGTGTAAAAGCTCTTCAGTGCACAGAGGCACTTCTGTAGGAGGACCTTTCAACACACTCCATCTTATTACTCTCTCCAAAGAATTGTGCTTCCAATGTGTTCTCAAATTTGCATATAGATTACAGCTGATCACTGACACCACTCAGTGAACAAGTGCCCATCACAATTTGGTTGAAAAATAATGAATAACACTCATACGAAATGTACTTCCTGTTTTTCAAAAAGGTTCCACTATAAAGAAATAACACCCCAGAGAAGCCCGACATGTTGGAAGTTTTTTCTGATTCTCATTTCTGTTTTTCTTGTGGTAAAACTTGATTTCATTAAATCTCTGCAGGTAGACGAAACGAGAAGCTGCTCATTATCGTGGGTGTGCTGCATCCTCATTTGGGTTAAAGCAGAGGATAGAAATGCAAAATAAAGTACGCCGCGAATCAGTCATCTTTTTCGGAAATCCCTGTCCATCACTTGTTTCATCCAAAACTCTGTCTACTGCAAAATAAAGACATAAGAAAAGCCAGAAAATCCTTTCAGCTATCAATCGTGTAGGGAGCCTAAGGGGTTGAGGGGAGGGGGGGGTTGCCCTTTCAACTCGCTACAGGGATGCACATTTGATTTTTATAGCGAGAGGTTTTCACAGAGTACAGTATACACTATGGAATGTGTTCTGGTCAAAAGAGGCTTTGTTCCTCGGAGCATGTGGAGAATGTGACTGTTCCTCCTCCCCCGTCTTAATCTGAGCGCCGCCGCAGCACATAATCTCGGAGTCCTTCGCTCGCTGTGTATCCCGACTGTCTAACGGAGCTGGAAAATTGTGATAGCCTCGACCTACACTGTTGGTGCAGACTGTGTGGGTGTGACCACATGTTTGCGTTAGAGGTTGCTACAAGGAATTATGCAAGTCAGTATGTTCTCTGACATTTGGTTCACTGAATACAGTCCGTTGTTATCGGACGTGTGCGCAGAGGTGCCTTTTCTGGACAATGCAAAGACAATATTCAGAGCTACTGAAAAAATCATCCAATAGCCCACCTTGGCATTAGTTATGACAACTTTCAAATCTGTCCAAAGTTTTCTGAAAGGAGAACCGGTCAGCCATCCCAACATTCCCAACTCATTAAAAATGGGTGCATGTGTGCACACGCCCACACTCCCATGAGGCATGCACAACCAAGAGGCCGTCAGCCTCCCACACACATTTTGCTACAGCAGCAGGCAGCTCATGTATAAATACTCAGAGTAATCTGGTCTATCACCAGAGGGGATGACAGAGGGCCTGGCTCCATTCACCCCGAGAAACATAGCGCCGAGCATATGGATGACGCATGCTGGAGTGGGAGGAGAGGGAGGACTGGGAGAAAAAGGGAGTGTGATGTGGGTTAACGGAGAAGAAAGAGGGGTAGGGGTGGGTTATTGAGAGTTATGCAAGAAAAAGGAGCAGATAAAGTGTCATGAGAAAAGTTAAGAGGAGAGATGTATAAAGCAGAGAGAGCACATCAAGGAAGAGGAGCCTGGATGCGGCGAACATGTTAAAGCTGGTTAGTTAATCTCCCTTTAAGGATGGCTTCTAAATTACTTCATCTAATAATGTTAAATGACCAGAAAATCGTAATGTTGGCAGAGAAAGACTCAGAGTCTGTAGACGCACTGGCGCCTCTGCCAGGCTTTCCTCTCAGTGACAATGCTAATGTTTGGCGGTTATGTTTTCCATCTTCATTCAGCGTGCAATCGTTTGTAATTAGCACTAAACACAAAGTACATCTGAGACTGATGGAAGTGTTTTTACGGAAGTAACTTACGGATGTTACGTTATCTTGATCATTAACCAGTATTGTATTGGTTATCAGGTTTTAAACGACACATTTGGTGATACTATATTTTTCTTATTGTCAACAAATCTAAAGACTCAAACCAACAACGAGGTGATCCTACTAACAAGCATCGTCTGAGAACATCTATTCTGATTCAGCTTATTTTCTCCGTGTCATAGAGCTCCCTTTGTTTTCCAAAAATGAGCCAATCGATGAGTCACACTATTGCTTTGGGTGACACATCATCACCATGAACATGGACACTGTGGTTATTGTGAGTCGATAAAAACTCACTAGAGCACCAAGTGTGCGGTACTCACTCCGATGCTGAAATAGTCCCTTTAACTATTAGTACAGAGCTCAGCTGTTTGAGGAAGTGAGACGATCTAAAACAGTTTCTTTTGGTCTTTTCGGGGGCTTTGTTTTTAACAATAACAAACATACAGAACCTCATGCGCCTCATTCTTTATGAACACAACTATCTTGCACAACGTCATCTACGCGCCAAGTAAACCAGCCTGACTGGAGAGCAACATGACACTTTGAATGATAACCTTGTGATTCAGGTACAGCTACAATCCTCCGAAATAACCTTTACAGGAGGAAGTGACGCTACTCCAATCAGGTTTGTCATACCAGGCAGGCATGCAAATCTTTGTTTTCTAAACAATGCATAATGCCTCTGAACATTTGCATGATGCACGACACACGTGCAAGAGTGCATTCACAGCTGCAGAGCTCTCCCATACGCTGCACCACTGGTGAACAGCTTACTCCAACCTACTTAATGCTTCTGTACCCCTTTGTGCTATGAAAGTATTGTGTTTACTGTATTTTATAGAATAAAGAGAATGTGAAATGGGCTGGATAACTGTGGCACTGTGCGCCCCCCCCCCCAGAGTAATCTGGAAGGCAGCCCACTAATGACTCGCACAGCCTTCAACATAGATAGGCTTATCCACTGACCTACATGTTATTGGAATGATGACTGCCTTCATTCACCCAGCTTTAGTCCATCAAGAGCATTTGACTTTTGTTCTAAAAAAAAGTTCAAGACATGCAGTAGAGATTTCCAGACATGTTAAGCTCTTGGCTGAGACTCTCTTTCTTTCTTAGCCTACTTATTTAAGCGGCACATTTACTTAAACCAGTGTGCTAGTAACAGCTCAGCCTGACCGCCGTGAAATTGTGAAAAAGCCTAAAAAAGAAAGCTGTATTTATTCAGACATTTTCTAAATGTGTGAACGGTGGGACATGTGATTCAGACGCCTGGCAACGATCCTTGTGGCTCCCTCTGTGCAACAGTGAATGAGAGAGTCCAGAGGGCAGGCCGGGCACAGATTCCCACTTTGTTCTCCCAGTCAGAGCCAGGAAACCACTTCTCTGTCACAACCTCTCTCTCCCGGTAACTTAAGTTCCTCCTGGGTCATTGCTGTTGGTATAGAGACTGCGGGGTCAAGGGTGGGTGAGTGCAGCTCTCCGAACCCCCCAGAGTCATGCACAAAACAGCTGAGCCTGCTCAAACCTCCATGTAGAAAGATAATCGACTGATGACATACAGGAGGAGCTGTGCAGAGGGCTCGACACAAGGTGGTCAGGTGGGCAAAGTGAGAGTGAGTTCTGAAAGAATCAGACGGAGATTGAGATGTGTTTCCTGAAGGTTCATCGAGTCCTTCAACAGTGGCCGACTTGCACTCGGTGACGAGAGGTGTTTGTATTGTTCAGATAACTGCAGCCTGCTTATAATATCGAATCTAATATGAAACTTTAGCGAACATTCTGTTTGTTTAACTGAGAGGAAACGATCAGAATGAGACTAAATGCATTCATTTAGTCTCATTCATAAAGTATTTAACATGCGTTTTCAATAAAAGATACATTGAAGAATGTTCTTACTTATCAAACGGATCTCTCTTTGAAACGGCTGGTTCATCCATTCAAGAAAATACAAAGCGATGCAGAACAAAAATGATTTTGCGCACAAATTGTCTCTTCTCACGATTGATAGCTGGTAGCTTCTAATGCAAATCTGCTTCAAAAATATCTATTCCAATTAATATTTAGTCTTTTGTGTTGTTCAGAGCCCAAAACCAGCCAGTGGAGCTATGAGAAGACGAGAAATATTAATAATGAAAAAGGTACTAAAAGGGGATATGTATTTAAAATGGACTCGTTAGGTATTGTTGAACCCTGTTGTGTCTGTGTGGAGGTCTGTGTGTGTGTGTGTGTGTGTGTGTGTGTGTGTGTGTGTGTGTGTGTGTGTGTGCGTGCGTGTTAAGCGGAAACAAAAGTGCAGCATTTGACAGAAGCGAGCAGCTTGTGTTATTTATAACGAATAGTACTCGTCTGGTTGGCAGAATGTGATTAGTCCGGGCTAGCTCTCGCCTTATGAAAGGAGCTTTTGATCCAGATTGCAGTGGACTGTTACAGGATT